GGTAATGACATTTTCACGTATTCAGTTTCGTACGACTTGTCGTTTTTCAGCTAGACTGCTAGCATACAAACACACAGACACACAGACCATTTTTCGGGACTTGGTCATTTGGACTCAGGGTATCTCAAAACGTGCATTTTCGTTGAAAACTCAGATTCAAAAATTTTCTCGATCGCAATACTTACCCTTACTATATATTACATATATACGAAAGTGAAAGTAATAATATTTTAAAATTGCGATATCTCTACTAATAGTGCTTCGATTTCGATGAAACTTCTTTCATTTTTTAGAAAATTTAAATACCTTTGAAACATTTCATCACAATATCGACAAAAAAAGTATACTTTTTGAGTTATTTGGAATTTAATTTTACCATCCCTCGTAACTTTTTTTCCAGCTTCTTTTCGTTGAAGTACATAAATTTAAAGGGTGTCGAGAAATGACTTTAGCGAAGTTTCATTGAAATTATTACATTCGTTTAGACGCAACAGTCTATTGCAATTCGTTTCGTACGCTTTTCGTTTTTGAGCTAGACAAACAAACAGAACATTTTTCGAGACTTGGTCATTTCGACGCAGGCGCTCACGTGCATTTCCGTTGAAAACTCGGATTTAAAAATTTTCTCGATCGTAATACTTACCGTTACTATATATTACATATATACGTAAGCGAAAGTGAAAACTTTCATCAGAATTTAATTTGGAAACTTAAGGAACTCAATTCGAAGTCGACAATCATGAAAATATTTATTTCTTAAAATCTCCTTTGAAAAAATAAATATTTTAAAATTCTATATTCAATCAATACAATAATTTTTTATCAATGATAGTAAAGTATATTCTTTTTTTTATGATGGTTTTAACTCTTGTAATAACTTAGATATTGTTTATTAAATCTGAAGTTTAAAAAAAATTGATTTTTAAGCCTTTTGAAGGTAGTAGAAGGGTACTTATTTCTGAGTAGTTGGCAAAGGTTTGAAATTTTTCCTATAATTTGAAAATTTCTATTTTACCTGTCAATATTTTTGATCAATTAGGTCGATAAATAATCATAATAATATGATAAATAGTATTTATAATGATTTTGGAAATGATCCTAATTGAAGGAATATAGTGAAAATTTCTGCTGTGGGCACTTCCTTCAAGAAAACCTTTCTCCATAGCGAACAATTTCTTAATCCCATATGATTTTAATAATCTTACAGTATAAAAATGATTTATGCTTAACGGACGTTCTCTATAACGAATACGGACAAGCTCGATACTAAGATTTTGATTGAAAAATTCCCTTATAACGGACAGCAGGGATCCTTGTGAGGCTTATATTCTGAAAAAAGTAATTCAATTTATAATAACTTAGTTAGTTCAGTTATGTATTCTGGAAATTCGGTTTTTAAATAGGATTTACAGTTTTAATATTTTGTTGTTTTATTTTAATTTTTTTCAAGCTATATGATTTATAATTTCAATCTGTAAACTTTTATTTATTTTTTATCATGTTTTACTTTCATTTTCTCTGAAACAGATATCTCTCTGTAAAGGAAAAATTTTGATTTCCAGGAAATGTCCGTTACTGAGAAGTTTTACTATAGCTGATCAAGCAGTGCGGTCAGTCATTCAGTCACATTATTCAGTCACGCACTATTTTGGTGTATTATTTATTTATAGTCTGCGTTTCGATATAAAATACAGGTCTCCATCAGAGCTAAAAACCTAAGACACAAAAAGTTATTATTAATTGGTACTAGAAGATTTTATACATCATATAAAAAAAAATTGCGAGTAATGTGGCAGAACGTATGGCAATAAAAATAAACCAAATTAAAAGGAATAAAAAGCCACTGTTCCAAATGGAAAACTAGTAACCGACTGTCCAGAAAAGAAGAGACAGTCCTCTGCCGCTTAAGAATTGGGCATTGTGAATTTTCACATGCCTACTTACTAAGAGGACTAGACCCACCAACTTGCGAGAGCTATAAAGTGCAAAGAACTGTCCAACACATCATCCAAGACTGCCCAGTATTAAAGAATATTAGGAAAAATCTCGGTATGGCTCAGAGTCTAAAAGTAAACCTCAGTGACAACGACAACGCCATGGAAAACCTTCCAACTTTTAAAAATAATAAAATTCTACAATTGAGTATAAACAGGAAGTGTTACCAATGATCGTGCAGAGTAGAAGCAACAATAAAAACAAATAAATAATAATTGGTACTAGGCACAAAAAATTATAATAAGAGTTATTCTGGTATCTGTACAGGTTACAGATACATTTTAGAGTGTGAGAAATGAAATGAGTATAACCTGAGTAAAATAGAAGACTACATAAATGAATATGAAAACGGTTAATAATGGCATTTAATTTAAATTTTATTTATATGTATGTGAGACTCATAGGGCTCATTCAACAATTCAATCTTCCAATTCGATCTTCCAAACTATACTAGTTAATAGTTTATGGCTATAATTACTATTTAAATTGAAATAACATCGGAAAACTATACAAATATAGTTTCTCGACGAATCAAGATGGCCGCACTAGCTTCGTCCAATAGAAAACAAGACATTTTATGTCCAAAATGTCTTTTAAGTCACTGTAGTGTTCAATAGGTATGGGTAAAATTGTTACAAAAAAAGAGACAAAGAATGATTGGGATCAGGGCGTTCTAAATGAAAGCCCAGTCAAATTAGATATGTTACCTTGCAAAAGGCGCTAATTTAAATTTCTTTTTTATATTGTTAGGTACGCTGTAAGTATAAAAAAATCCAAGTTTCCGTCCTTGAAAGCCTGGTTGGTTCGCTGCAGTGCTACAAAAACCATTGAAATTTCGAAATTGTTTTGCTTTACCCTAAATATCTCCTTTTTAAAATGATATAGATAAAAGATGATTATATTTAATTTAAAATTATCTAACCTTTATTATTATTAAAATTATCTAATATGTTTATCTAAACAGAAAACAAACTAATGCTCGAGCTTTCAAAATGAGTAATGTTTAAAAAAAAAAGACAATTTAATTACTGTATTAATATTTGTTCGTTAATGCAATCAATTATTAATACAATCATAATAATCTGGGAAATAAGAAACACTTTGTCAATCAAAATGAAAACAATCATTCAATGGAATTGTAACAGATTTTTCCGACATTTAGAGCACCTAAAAATGACAATAAGCGAAGAGAATCCTATTCTAGTTTGTCTCCAAGAAACACACTTACAAGAAACTCAAACAGTGAGATACAAATATTACGATATATACCGAAAAGCAAAAGATCGTCATGGGAAGACTTCGTATCTTCATTAAATCAAAGCATTTCAATGAAGGAACTCTGGAATAAAGTGAAAAGCATTAAGAGTGGACAAGACATTATAACTGACCCTGACGAAATCGTTAACGAAAGTGATAAAACTCTGCAACAGGGTGTAATTTAAAGGCGTTGCCAATGACCCTACAGGGTAGAGGCAACAAAATACCAAATAAATAAATAAATAATACAATCATTATAGCATACTATAACTTAAACATTTATGAGTACATAATGATATGGCGAAGGACTCCAGACGCCTCTGCCAGTGCCGCTTTTCCGCCGATTAAGTATATTTTCTAAGTAACTGCTTTTAATTTAATTTAAAGAAGAAAAGGGTATTCTCCAGATGTTTTATTTCGGAGGGTTTTTTTGTTGGCCGTTTATTTACATAAGACCCATGTTTTTTAACTTTAGTTTGAACGACATGAAAAAATTGACTTTACTGGTGTTTTAAATTGCATATAGTTGCGTTCCTTGCAATTATTTAATAAATAAAAGCCAGTTTTCACACAGAAAAAGTGGCCACACTGTCCCGAAATGGCGTTCGAACATAGCAGATTGACGTCTTTGACTTGGGTTAGGTTTTCCGTAACTGAGTTACAGCATTGCCTTAGCTTCGCCATAATTGGCCTTTAATTAAAGCTAGATAGTTAGAGAATAGCAAAACATGAAAAAATATGAAACAATAATTGGCATGAGCGATAAAAAACACCAGAAAAGTCAAGTTTTTCCAGTCGTTCAACTATTTAGTTTTGTATAATCGTTGTAAATAGTTTTGTTTCTATTAGTTAAAAATATATTTCTTTTTCAATGCTCTTCCCAGTTAACTAGGATTTAGATATTTGGTTTAATTTCATGTAACATCTTCTAGCTTAGTTACTCCTTATACTACTCCTTGTTCGGCATTGGTCTGAAAGTTCTACCTACATACAAGATGTATATTTCTTTACGCTTGGCTCTACAGACCTTGTAGATCTGAACCAGCCTTCTCCATCTCAGCCTATCTTGGACTGCTGCTTTCCAGTTTGCGGCATGAAGCTCAACAGTATCTTTGTTTATCCTATCTATCAATCTTTTTTTTGTCCTCTCAGGTGGTCTCTTGCTTACTAATCTGGCATTCATTGTTATGTAAAGGCGTCCTGATGAATTGTAACGAGCTACATGCCCCGCCCATCTTAATCTCCTTGCCTTTATGTCATGAGATATTGACTGACCCGTTTCTTTCAGCAGTTCTTTATTATTCCTTCTCCTTTAGGTTCTGGTCCCATATCGGTCCTGTTACCTTACGGAGAACTTTTCTTTCGAATCTCTCAATCCTGGCTTCAAGTGTGCCGGTTAGAGCTTATGTTTCACAACCGTACAACAGAATAGTACAGAAGTAATAAGAACATCTTCGCGTGATGTTCTTATTACTTTAGAAGATATATACATATATATATACCACCTGCTTCTCTTAATTACCCGTTATGATTAAGCGTTTGAATAATCTCATTAATACTGTTAATAAATTCAATCAAATTTTAAAATCTTTTTTTTGTTTAAAGGAACGTTCACAACGTTGATTTACCAAGAAATAGGCTTCAGGTTATTTAAAACACCTAGACGCATCTATTCTTGATGCATAAGCCTGAAAAGTTGTCAACAAAAAACCAAGGCAATCTATAATCTAATGCATCATGGTTCACAAAACTGTAGGTATTGGTAATTAAATGTTTAAACAGATGAGAAAGAGGGGATGAGCTGAGTATTATCGTGTGAAGCAGAGCATTGAAGAGGACTATATATGCTGCCTCTTCGCCCTGGGGAAGATAGTCAGTGCCTAACCCAGCTAGGACGTCGCTCTACTTTGCCTTCTCACACAACACATCTCGAGAGGTTTGTAATAGGATGTAAGGACAACCAAAGATACCGTTCGGGAATTAAAAGTGCATTAGGAAACATCTTAAAAATATTTATACCAAAAAGAAGTGCGAAATTTAGATTCAGTTTTTCAGTGTCAAAAGCAAAACTTGAAAGACTTATCTGCCCGACAGTTCGAAGTCCAAGCGTTCAAAGAATGTGCTTATTTATTATTAATATAATCATACAGTTAGCTATTAAAACTCGAATGATATAATGTTAAATATATATATATATATATATATATATGTATATGCACCGAAAGTTAAGATGGGAAAACATCAATCATTATTAGTTATTTTTCAAAGGATGGAGGTTCCTAAAAAACATATTTTTCAAAGGATTTTTATTTCGTCTCCTTACAAAAGCAGATTTATTATTTTACCACGGCATACCACCCTTAGGCATGGCAGATAAATGCTGCATTCTCAATTATCCAGAAGAAATTTTTAATATTGTTTTTACTTCAATTTCAGTAGAGAAGCTTCAGTTCTTGATTTTTTTTTCTCCTACCCCGCCTTTCCGGCCATATGAGTTTTCTTTCTCGGTCCAGGGGTGAAGGCGGAGTATTAATGCCAGAGTTGAAAGCCTCCGGCACCTGGACTCGAATTCGTAATCTTTAGTTTTGCACACGTGGTAGTCCCTTCCACCAAATATCCACAAATATTTGTTTTAATTTTTTATAATTTAAATTTAGTTGAGGAACTGTTTATTACTTATGTTGTTGTTTTTTTTAAATACTTAAACCTTGTTTGAATAAAAAAAAGTAGTTTTACTTAATTAATTCTCAGAAAATTTCCGTCCTTGGCAATTACCTCTTTATGTAATTTTGCTTGTGCGTAAACCTGTCATTGTGTGAATTTTTCCTACTTCAATCACTTAAGTAAACAAAAACAAAAAAAAAAAACCCGTTCAATCTTTCTCAGAAGCTTATAAAAAAATAATTTTATACATGGTTCGATTGAATGGAAAGTTTAAGAAATTTATTCAAAATTCACGAAATAACAATTTTTTTTTTAAATTTCACGTAGTTATTGAAAATGGACAACGAACATGATTCAAGAAGTGTATGGAATGAAGATAGAGGACTCGATTTCTGAACCATTGTTTCTTGAAATTTATAAATGAAACAAATATAAAAATGTTAAGGTGCTATAAATATTTTAATAGTCGTTATATAACGTGTCGTGCACGTTTTAAACAACAACTAACGTTATAACAAGAAAAGCCACTTGGTTTATTTAACTAAAAAAAATATAAAAAATTATTATAATTTATTTACATAAATTCCAAACTGTATTACAAACACAGTAAGTAGCCGTACTGTCTTATTAATAAAACATGATATTGCCATTAGACTATTCCATGTAAGAAGCTTCCGACGCCACTTTTTTCCCAGACGTTCGAAGGGTTATTGAGAATAATGGATTGGAATGCCAGGTTAAGAACGAATAGATTTATAAACGTTTAAAGTAAACGTAAACAGTTTAAAAACGCATTGACATCGTATTTTCTTTGGTATGAAATGTTCCAATAATTTGTTTGGTTTATTATTTTCAATAATGAACCATTTTAATCGAACAAAAATTCAAAAAGTTAAGCCCCTCTCAAAATTTGAGGTTTTACGTTTCAGGATACATAGAATTCGAAAAACGAATACAAATTTTATTGTCCGTCCGCCGTCCGCCATCCGCGCATTTTCTCCGAAACTTACGAACCGATTTTTTTTTCAAATTTGGATTTAAAATCAGAAATCACCCGAGGATGATCCCCCTTCATCGACATTACTATCCGCCTTTTATTTCAAAATGGCGGCCGAAAAACCTGCGTTGCTATAGGCTGTAGCGCCTAAACGAATGTACCGATTTCATTGAAACTTTGCTAAAGTCTTCTTCTTGATGCTCTTTAAATTTATTTATATAACATACTTCAACGAAAAGCAGCTGGAACAAAAAATTATGAGGGACGGTTAAATTTGATTCCCAATAACTCAAAAAGTATATACTTTTTTGATTTTGTATTTATTTTAAAAGTTAACGGAATTTCCTGAAAAAAAACATCGGTAAAATCGGACAATTAGAATCAAATATATCTCTAGATGTTTTTTATGTTCTGCTGCAAATCCTTTGTTTTGGGAAAATAATTGGAATTAACTTTTTATTTCTTTTCATTTGTCACTAGAAAGGTAATGTTACTTTAGATGTATAATTGTTGGGAAATAATAAACCATTGTGAAATAATTTGCAGCGTTTTTAAAATTTATAACAGTAATAATATTGAGTAGTCACATTGCAGAATCAGAATATAAACATAAAGTATTTATAAATATACTACTAGATTATTGATTTATTAGTTTCGAATTTAAAATGGAGGGATGGAACCCCCATACCAGACTGAAACGACTAGAAACCGCCCGACATTTTCGACTACTGCAGAACTTCCTAGACAAACGCTCTAAACTTCCCACTATTCACAAAATACTCATAAATATTACTATAATAAGGCCTATTTGGACTTACGGGATCGAACTTAGGGGCTAAATCATCAAATCGCTCTCGTGTCCAATCCCTACAATCCAAAATCCTTCGTAAAATCCTCAACGCTCCTTACTTTGTCACAAATGAAATCATCCATAAAGATCTTAATGTTCCATATGTTTCCGATTTAGCTCAATCCAGATATCTATCCTTCCATAATAAACTTCTGAACCATCCGAACCCTCTTGTTTCCAACCTTGCTTCCTCTACTATTCCTGATAACCCTCCGAGGCATCTGAAAAGAAGATGGCCTCGGGACCTTCTAATAAAGAAATATAATTGGAGTGCTACCAATGGGTAGTTTCTCTTCATGGTGTACATGTCAAGTTACTTATTTCATATTTACTAGTGGTATTTATCATTATACAGTCATAAATTTCAATAATAAAAATATTTAAAAAAAACCTAGAAATAATCTTCTCCCGGGTATATGCATGCCTTTTAAAAAATGAGCATTATTGGTCTGGGTTCGTACTCATCCATTGACTTTTACATTATTTTTTAAAATAAATTCAAAATAAATGTTACAGAATAGTTAAACCGTAAAACTCCGAATATAATGTATTTTCTTCTATATTTTCCGGCACAGTATCCACCTAATATTCTCGCAGAGGGGGAATAATTTCGTTGAAAATGCCATTCCTCACATTCCTGGACGATATTTTGAGCAGTTGAACATGTGGCCTGCAAGGGAACGTTCGTCGTCTCGCGTTGTCAGCGTTGGAAGACTTAGGCAGAGCTTGAGAGATATGTGGGTCAGTCTAGTTCTGGATCAATGGTTCAGACTATTTAATAATGAGATTATTATTATTGCAATATATTTTAAATGTTTGTCTGTTTTTCAATGTTTTATATTTAAATTATTTTATGTGTTCTCTTCGAATTTAAGATCGAGATGTAAACTAGCTGAAATAAGTGAACGAAACATAATAATAAAATCAAATATATTTATCGTAATAAAAAAATATTTATAGTACTTTAATAATAAAGTGAAATATATATAGGAGGAATTCTATGTGAATAAAAAAATTAATAAGCATTAATTCATTGGTTAAAAATCATTTCCTTAGCTTGCATTCTGAAATACTTTAAAAATTATACTATGTTTCAATTAGAAAAAAAAGTTGAGAAATAATTATTGGGAATCTCATAAATTTTTAAATAATTCTTATTTATCCGATATAACTCAGGCCTCAGGAAATGCTTATACAGTCTTTACTGCAGATTTATAATATAAAGATCTATATCCTGAAATTTTAGTCAGACAAGAATATTTTAAACATTGCAATTAATTCCAATGTCACTAATTAAAAAATATGAATACAAAAATAAATGTAATTTTTCATTTTTTTTTTAATAAATAATTTAATAGAATCCAATATCACACTGAATATTTATGTTTATTATTTAACTTGTTATATCATATCAGTGTGAATAAGGGCTGACTTGAAATTTCTAAATTTGATGGGAGTAGTTAAGCAGTACCATTAATGTAGATTTTTATTAGGGTATTATAGTTTCTATTAATATTAAATATTTTAGTCAGCATCTACATTCTCGAGATTAAAAAGAACCTTCTGATGGATCAAAAATTCCAATTTTTTTCACTTAATCTTTTTTATTAATTTAAAAAAAAAAAAAAGTGGTAAACTCCCTTTGGTGGACATACTCGCCGAAGGATGTGGTCTGGTCTCTGCGGTCCAAACTCATTAATTTGTATATATTGTAAATAATAAAAAATTAGCAGAACGGTCCTTCCCCGTTCAATGAAAGTCACAAGGCCTTCTGCCACATATGTAACCCTTAGATATCCCCAATCCTTAAAATGCCCTCGGGCAGTGGAAGGAATTTGTTACATGTATATATTGTATTATTGTATACTATATGTGTAAATTGTTTCAATAAACATAAAAAAAAAAATTAAAAAAAAAACTTAATTCTTTTTTGTTTATTTAATCAAATCTACAATGTATACAAATACAACTAGTAAATATGCTCAAATTATAAATTATGAATAACGACATGAACAGGCTTGAAGAGATACTACCCAGTGTTAGCACTACCTAAATAATTCTATGTAAGAAGATCACGTGGTCATCCCCTTTTCAAACGCCTAGGAGGATTGTCAAGAATCGAGGAAGAAGCAAGGGTGGAAACAAGGGGTTTTGGGTGGGACTGGAGTTTATCATGAAAGGATAGATATATGGCTCGGGCTAAATCAGCGACATATGGTACATTAAGGTCTTTATGAATGGTTTTATTTGTGACAAAGTATGGATCATTAAGGATTTTACGCAGGATTTTGAATTGAAAGGATTGGATACGATAGGAATTCGATGGTTTGGTGGAGCCCCAAAGCTCAACTCCGTATGTCCATATAGATTTTATTATAGTTATGTAGCTAAGTCTTTTGTAATTAATTGAATGTTTAGAGCGTTTGTCTCGTAAGCGTTGGAGCAGTCGGAAACTTCGAGCAGTTTCCTGTCGTTTCAGTCTAGTATGAGGATTCCAAGAAAGACGTTTATCCAAGTGGAATCATAAGTAGCGGATTTGTTCAACAGGAATAAGTGGAGTATTATTGGAGGATACTGTAGGACAAGAAGTCATGGGTTTACGAGGGAGGGTAAAGATGTTTTGATGGGATTTATTGGAATTTATTTTTATTCCTTAATTTAACTTAATAAGTAGAACGTGCAATTTAGCAACAGTACGTACAGATGTAATGCCATAAATGAAATCATTGAATTTCAGTAGCCTGAAAGTAAAAAATAAAATAAAAAATCCTATATGATGTATTATCTATATGTTCAACTGCGGAATGGCCCAGACATACAAATACTACAGAGGCGAAAAACTTGGAATGATGGATTCAATCTATAAAAAAATATATGTAGAAATTATTGTATCGTGCAAAAAATGTTGTTTTTGGTGAAGCAATAGTGAGGCAAGGATTTAATTATGGTGGAGCTTTTATTTTTTTTTTATATGGCGGTAATTACTCAGGAAGAAAATTAAAGAATTCTTGAACAAAAAAAAAAAATAAATAAAAATAACTATCTATATATAGGAAATGATCTTTAAGTTATATTTTAAGGTCTGTAAAGAAAAAAAAGATAATAAATAATTAAAAAGTATTAATAAAAAAACAGTACTTACACGAACAATAATGCTTTTAGAAATATGTTACTTTTTTTGACATGTTCTTACCTTTAGTATCTGTTCAGAAAAATTATCAGAAAAATATCAACATAAAAGTATCAGTGTATAATAGTATTAGTTAAGTATTGGTATTAGTATACAGTAATATATAATTAGTATCTCATCAATGAAAAAAAAGTTATTTTTTTAATTTTGGAGAAGGGCTCCATCCCGAATACCACTCCTCCCTGTTAGACCTGCCAGTGCTCAGAAGTTATGCGTTTTTTAAAAATATTTTAAAACAAAGTGAGTTTCTCAAAACTTGTTTTCAGAAAGTGAGGAAACAGAAAATGCGTTCTGTCGAATCAGGCTTTTTTTTTATTGCTCTTATTTTTCCTCATAAATTTCAGACCTTATTACTTTTACTCAACGTAATATAAATGATTTTTTAGATCGACATTTTAGTGAAACACTTAAAGGCAATTTTTTTTTTTTTAAATAAAAGTTCTGTAAAACTTTAAATTAAAAGTTACAGGGGGGGGGGGGGAGAAGTTCTATTTCCGATATGAAAAAAAATTGAAAATGAAGATTTCAGTCATACCGATACTAATCAAAATTTGATATCAAGCCCTGATAAAAACGAGGGCTCACTTAGTCTTTAATATTTAAATAATATTTTTTAGATCTACCTCTTGACTGAGGTGCCGCTGGGCACTGCTCCTCCTCATGCCTTTCATGACATTATATTTTGCAATTGATCTCACATTCACTGGTTGTCATTACTATTATGACAGGTGTGAATAAAAAATTAAAGCTAAAAAAAGATCTACCTCTTTAAAAAATCTTGGAAACTTGCAATTGACTTAATAGACTTCACTTACGGTGACAGAAAGGTTATTACGAACGGTTCCATAATTGTTCATTAATTTGAATCCTCATTAAGTAATGTCTTAGTATTTGTTTATGTGTACCTCTTATATAGAAGTAATTATATTTTCGGGCGTGAAAAACTATTTCATATTTGATATTAGTCTATAATAGTCAGTGGTACAGACCCCTTTTTATCAACTTATTAATATCCGGCTGAAACTTCGTAAATAGCTTCATCTCATCGTAACCTACAAACATTTTATTTGCGAAAATACTCGGAATTGGGGCGTTTTCAATCTGGTGGTCGTCAAACTTTGTCCATTTAATTAGGTACTAAAAACTCGTAAATACCCATTTGATTTCCACTTTAATCGTAAGATTGGCGTAACCTACAGCCCCAAATTGAAAAAATAACGAGGTTATATAGGCGAAACGGGTCAATATTTTTGAAGACCACCTTTTTTCTCAACTTTTTGCTGAAGTTATGAATCATTTTCTAAGTGAAAATCCTAGCTGAACACACCTCCCTGAAGAAGACCTGTAAAGTCGAGTCGAAACGTTGGCTTTTAATAAAATAGTTTTGCCACTATTTAGCCTATTTATGACCACCATCTCCTTCCTTTAAACTAGTTATAATTTGCATTATGAGTTAATGTGTGATAACAATAGAATCACCAGTATAAATATTATTAAATAATATCGACAATAATAAATAATATTGAATACATCCTCTAACCGATTGACTAAAAGTGATTGATGTGGTTAAGTTTAAAATGGTAATAAATACTTTATCATTCACTCGTTTAATTAATTCACCATTCGTTTTAGTAAAGATCCAAGTGGATTAAATGGTCTTTAATATCAATTAGGTCTTATCCCCATTGATGTCACTTTACAGGGCTTAAATGCCCAATGTTCATATACGTCTTCCTCTAAAGTACCTTTAATATGGTTTATTTTAAAAATTTAATTATTTCACATTATTCAGAGTTACGAAAAAATGCTAAATGTAACTTTTGAAAGAATTTAATAAGTTAATAAAGGAAAAAAAAAAATAAAAATGCAGAAAAACCAGCGTTGCTATAGACTGTAACGCCTAAACGAATGTACCGATTTCATTGAAACTTCGCTAAAGTCATTTTCTCGACACCCTTTAAATTTATCTGTATAACATACTTCAACGAAAAGAAGCTGAAAAAAAAGTTACGAGGGAAAGTAAAATTAAATTCCATATAAGTCAAAAAGTATAAGCTTTTTTGGGAATATTGTATATATATTTTTTTAAAGTTTATGGAATTTCCTAAAAAAAACAAAAAAAAATCGTTAAGATCGGTCAATTAGGAGGAAAGATATGGTCTCTAGTTTTTTTCCCTGAAGAGTCGAAAATTCGGATAAATTTAGAATATACTTTTTTAATTGTTGAGACTAAAAAAACCTTTTTTTTTCTACAGATATTTAATAAAGTATCTCTCCTAAGAACATTTTTCATAAGAAATAAGTACCTAAATTTATACTTTTATTCTCAGTTCTATATTTCAACACTGCAATCACGACCTCTGGAATCGCATTACTGAAATGGCATTACTCAAAAATGTCGAAATTGGAGTTAGTCATTCTGAGGTTTATAAAAGCAAAGACTGTTGTGTGGTTTATAAAAGCAGATGGAGAGACTAGATTTTTATTGGCTGTCGTCGATATATTAAATAGACATTTTGTAATTATGGTGGTCTTAATGACTTGTTATCTGTAAGTTTTAAGCTTTAGCTCCGTTTAAAATGCACTTCAAAAAAATTTATAACAGCCCAGCATTGCCAGAAAATAATTTCTATTCATAGTAGATCGGCAAGTGAAAGTTGTGTGTTGCACGCACCAGATTTTTTATAATTAAGTATGTCACTTTGTAGTTAAAATTACTCGTTGAAAATTGATTTATCATCAAAATATTTCGCAGATGACTGAAGATGACGTGGCAGCACTGGTGGTGGACAACGGTTCAGGAATGTGCAAAGCGGGATTCGCAGGAGACGATGCTCCTCGGGCCGTGTTCCCGTCCATCGTCGGCCGGCCGAGGTACCAGGTAAGTGGCTATCCTACAGGAAGTCGAGGAAGACCAATAGGTTTCTGACATCACTCTTCTTCCAGGGCATCATGGTGGGAATGGGTCAGAAGGACAGCTACGTCGGCGACGAGGCCCAGAGCAAAAGAGGAATACTCACCGTCAAGTACCCGATAGAGCACGGGATTGTGACCAACTGGGACGACATGGAGAAGATTTGGCACCACACCTTCTACAACGAGCTGAGGATAGCCCCGGAGGAGCACCCGGTACTCCTCACGGAGGCTCCCCTCAACCCCAAGGCCAACCGGGAGAAGATGACTCAGGTAAAATCTTCATCCTGAGAAATAAATATTGAATTAGGAAATATGAGGTTGTTTACTTTAATTATGATAATAAATATAAGATAATATTTCTTATATATTTGTTTATTTAGAAATATTGCATTCTGCCACGTCACGGACATTTATAATAATATTTAAAAAAAAATAATGTTGTAGTTGAGTTGTCGACGTCAGAAACGAACAGATAAAGACAACCAGCCTGATACTAGACTGATATAACCAGAATATCAATCGATAAACTATAAATAGCTCTGGAATGATTTTAAAGTATGCGGAATGGTAAGGTCCTTGAATATCGATTACGTAACATTGAAAATTCTCTTCTTCCTGGTTTTTTCTAAGCAAAGCCGTAGCCAGCTACAGCCAGAATGTAGCCAGGGTACATTCATTGATCAATTACTTAAATAAAAAGAACTTGATTCAGGGTAGGGGAGACTAGTCTTTATTTCGTAATTAACTTCATTCAGAATGTTGGAATGTAGACAACTAACCTGTAACTGTTACTCAATTTTTTAGAAATTTGTTGTTTCCATTTCTTAGTATTTTATTTAAGTTTTCTCAAATTGGAGCGGGAGAGGGTAGTACTTTCCTAGGCAAGCCTTTATTTTTAAATAAGTATGGCATAAATATCGTAAGATCAAAGCAAATCATTAATCCAAAATTGTTCAATCGTAATAAAATAATGCCTTTATAATAACTTCCATGTCATAATTTGATTTATTATACCGATTAACTAAATTATTTTACATATTAAGAAAGAAATTATTTCATAAATGGTACTTGAAAAGTAATATTTTCGTCCGTGACAGATGATTTAAAAAATAACAATAATTATTATAGTAATTAAAAATTCTCTTATTGTTAGCAACGAAGACATACTATTTCTACGGAGTAAAATTTAACTGATTAGTATTAGCTAATTCGTACTTGATCGATCATAATACTGAAAATAATAGAATACAAAATACTTCATTAGCGAACATAGACAATTTAAAGAAATTGGTCCAGAAAATATTCCTACCGATCATTTATGACAGTAATAAGCAAAGAGATATAGTGTACAAATGTTCAAGTATTTCTTTACAGGTGTATCTTCTTGATCAAGTATCTTCTTCCAATAATAATACCAATTTTATTCAAGATTATCATAGGAGGCTTGGATAACTTAGACGGTAGGACATTACTTGGGCTCAAACTGAAAATATAACGGAAAAGTAGTAAAGTATCTCGAGAAATAATATTGAATAACGTCTATATTTTCATGACAAAAGACATAGGTGTAATTTAAAATCTTGTTTCAGTAATTCAATGGGACCCTAACTCGTGTTATTTCTTCATAACGAAGATTAAGCATCACCCTCACTTTGTTCCAGATTATGTTTGAGACGTTCAACACCCCAGCGATGTACGTCGCGATCCAGGCAGTGCTGTCCCTCTACGCTTCCGGAAGGACGACTGGTATCGTCCTAGATTCTGGAGACGGAGTATCCCATACAGTCCCAATATACGAAGGTAAATCTACCATCTAGGTTTATCAACTTTTCATAATATACGAAAATGATTTTATCAATGTACATTCAGGGTATGCCTTGCCTCACGCCATTTTAAGACTGGACCTCGCCGGACGAGACTTGACTGACTTCTTGATGAAGATTTTGACCGAAAGAGGGTATTCGTTCACGACCACCGCCGAGCGAGAAATCGTTCGCGATATCAAGGAGAAGCTCTGCTACATCGCCCTCGACTTTGAGCAGGAGATGGCGACGGCCGCAGCGTCGACTTCTTTGGAAAGAAGTTACGAACTGCCTGACGGCCAGGTGAGTTGTACCGATTTATTGGTATAAATAAAATGTAAGACGAAAAACCTCATGAGGTCTTAACGGCGTTGGTGGGCCTACGGAATGAATTTTGACCTTCCCACACAGGTCAGAATAGGTTTGTAACACTCGAACAAACCTCCAAACATGGCGAGGTAGCTGGTAAACAAAAAAAAAAATTGAAATGTAGTTACTAACATAAATATCAAGTTTTAAGGTTTCGAAGAGATGCTTTTTACTTATTCGGTTTTATATGCTATACTAACTTCATACAAAAAAAAATGAAAATATATATTAATTAAAATTATTCACTTGATGTTTAATAATTGGCTGTAAATGAAGATGAGGGACTAATTTTTATTTCGCAATTAGTTTCATTCAGAATTTATGCGTCAACACGCTTTCCTACTCCCCCTATTTTGTCCATGTCCAACTTATTGAATAATTTTTATGATATAAAGCATAAAGCTTTCAAAGTGATTATTTTTGGCGTTGGTCTTCAATGAAATATGAGACTTTCAGTTGACAGAATGACTAACTCCAATTTCAAAATTTTTTATTATTAACTTTAGTGATATTTCTAGTGGAAAAATGTATTTTTTTATATTTCAAGTTCTATATTTCAACACTGCAATCACCTACTCTGGAATGAACTTTCTCACTGTCTGTACAGATATTAAAAATTTTTCAACTAGAAAGATCACTAAAATGACTTTCTTAAAAAAATATTGAAATTGGAGCTAATCATTCTATCAACTAAAAGGCTCATATAGGGACTTTAATTTTGAAGTGATACCCCTCCGCACCAACACTGTATACTCATTTTAAAATTTATTTTGAAATGATTTCATTTTTATTAAAACGAACACTCAACAGTGCTCCAGTTAAAAGAAATAAAAAAGAACTATTTTGTACCAGTTATATTGGACTGTAAATGTGCTACAACTTTTTAGATGGCTCGGCTAATTAAATGTGGACTTTATAATGCCAAGGTCTTCGGATTTTCGTTTGGTGGAAGACCATTTTTTTATCTTTTAACAAACGCACACGCAATGGATACCAAACTAGTTATGAAAATTTAGAATTTTATATACACTTGAAGAACCGGTATCAATTATAAATAAACATCACGAGCAAGCCTGAGCCACTTTCTTTTTGGAATCCTGATCATCGATAAATCATCGAGATTACATCTTCGAGAAAAATATTTGGTAACAATCTACATTAATATCTAGCGCAGATTTGAAAAATTTATGTTGCTTGCAGGTAATTACTATAGGTAATGAGAGGTTCAGGTGTCCAGAGGCAATGTTCCAACCATCCTTCTTGGGGATGGAGTCCTCTGGAGTACACGAGACGACGTATTCCTCGATCATGAAGTGCGATGTGGATATCAGGAAGGACTTGTATGCCAACACTGTTCTCTCAGGAGGATCAACTATGTATCCAGGTAATATAGTATTAACGAAAATTCTAATAATAATATGGAAAACTCAAATGTAACAAATCGTTTTGATTTTTTCTCAAGCAAATAATAATTTTTAGAAGTTTATTCAAAGATAAAGAATTTAATTAAACTAAAAAATCTCAGCCAAACCATATATCCAGACTATACTAATATATACCTAAAACATTCAGCTACAAAATTACAAGCCACCCAACCAAAAAATCTAAATACATCCCACATTACACAGAATTGTATATTCTATTATTTTAATTCGTAGTAAGTGAATGCGATAGTTAAGCACATAAACGATTTTGAGACAAACTTAAACATTACATTTTATCGTACACACAAAAATAAAGTTGCAACATAACCACTAATCACAGGGACCCGAGAGGCCAAAAAAGGATTTGGGTAAGAGGTTTCTTTCTTTTGCTAAATTATTTAAATTTTTTGCCTGAAATGTGCAATACTGGGCTGTTCTCTTCCTCATTTCCGTCAAACTAAACTTTTCGATGCGATCATTATAAATCCATCTATGCATAAGATAAACCAAAATAAAAATAAATCTTTGTATTTCGGCCCAAAATTCAGGCCTTGTTCAGGGCTGGGCTCACGAGAATTTCCCATTAGGCCTTAGTTCTCGTGAGTCGATTCCTGATGAAGACCTTACAGTTTGAGCCGAAACCTCGGCAAATATAAAAATAAAGATCATTTATTTATTTTTGACTGAACACTCCAACTAACTTCTCTTCAATTATTAGCTGCCGTCAAGGATCGTACCACTATTATTAAAAATCTCGCTTATAACCCATTTACAAATGAAATAAATGAAAACAAATAAATACGAGAAAATCTTCGTATTCCAGGATTGTGATATTTAAAAAAAAAATACATTATTAAAAGAAATTAAATGTCCAAGATATACAGAAATTTAAAATCTGCTCTGTGCAGAAAAGATGTCCCATTAAATCTTTTACTGATACGTCACCTCATTAGGTCTAATGGAGGATTCCCAATGATTCTAAAATGATAACTTCTAACATGGTCTGCAACTGCTCCCTTCCAACAACGAGCCTCTGCAAGAAATTACCTTAAGTAAGAGGGACGGTTTCCCTGCTTCCGAACCATGGCGCTTTGAATGATAATCTTCTCTCGTCGAATTCATCTCTATATATTTCTTTTAAGCACGGTTTGCACAGATTTTTTCCCTCTCTGCCTTTATATTAGAATCTTGATCGTTTCAAATCTGATCGTGGGATTTACTACTACTGCCTCCTTTTCTATCGCATTAAGCGCCAAAATCAACGAACCCTGTTGAGCCTTTTATGTGTAGAGAATAAACTCCCAGAAAACATCTGTAGTCTAGGAGTTCCGATTGTTGGTTAATTATATTATTGTACCGGCGGGTTACAAGGAGCATGTTGTCAGGAAATTTGTCCAATACATGACCTGGAGTCTTAAACTCTCGACCATATTTATGGCAGAGGAACATCTCCGTTTGACTGGCACTCGGTCCCTCGTCCTCCTAAAAAAGAGCGTAATTCATATTCAGTTCCATAACGTTCGTTCTTTCCGAGCCGGACTTTTGTATGTATGGAATATAAATTTAAATTCCTATCATTTATATTCAACTTTCTTCTACATCCAAAAAACAGGCAAAGACAATGCTAGACTGCAAAGTATCTAAGTATGATTCACCTTACCACTAGTTATTAATATAATTACGCGTTTTCTAACGCGTGCAATCCTTATTTTCTAGTTTTCATAGATTTTCACAGCTAACTGCTTCAGAAATGCACTTTCATAAGAAAACTCTCAATAATCGGCCATGGAGCGTAGAGTGCATCCACTACAATAATTCTGTTTATGAGACCGTGACCAGCGAGCGTGGCTCCCCTTCACGCTTTGGACGGCGCCCATTAAGAACGTATCGCACGATAGTTTCATCCACGATCATGGGGGGTATCTGTCGGGTCAGTGCCTCTTCTTTCTCATTAGTTCTGGACCAATGAGGACTGTATTCTAACAACTACAGTTTGAATATTTATGATCCATTTAGTGTAGTAGTTTTCTAGTAATATATTTTACTTGCAAATCAAGCTATTTTAAATATTATTATTTTACTTAATATTGACTTTAAATATTACTTTACTCATCTTGAAGAGAGTTCAGTATTTTTTTTATAAAACATTATTCCAGTTAGATGTTTCGCGAATGACACCATAAACTTGTGTGAATTTTCAATTTGTATTCGTTGGTGAAGACTAAATTAAAAAAATAAAAGCTCAAAAAATCTTTAATTTTTCTTATTAAGCGTTAAAGAATATTTATGGAAACGAATCTACGTAACAAGAGTGGTGACAGCTATTTGAATATCATATACCTATTAGCTATTATTAATTTATTCAACTTCAAACTTCCGTCCAAGAAACATCTTCCCGTCTTTTCTTCCCGTCTTTCATCGTATCTGAGTAAAAATAATTATTTTAAAAGTTTTATAAATAAATAAATATGATAGGAGCTCCTCCAGACATCACCATAGCTCCCTATGCAAAATCTGTACATTTTTTATCATTTGAAAATGTAATCTGAATCATATACACATGTTTTATCACTATAATTCAGACAACCAAAGTTTACATGATATTTCCCTTTCAAGCACTCAATTTGATTCGTATTGACACGATTGACTCCGATGACCATGAACTTCTTATTCCAGGTATCGCCGATCGTATGCAGAAGGAAATAACAGCACTCGCTCCAGCTACGATGAAGATCAAGATCATCTCGCCTCCTGAGAGGAAGTACTCAGTCTGGATCGGTGGATCTATCCTTGCTTCCTTGTCCACCTTCCAACAGATGTGGGTATCCAAGCAGGAGTATGACGAATCCGGACCTGCCATCGTGCATAGGAAGTGTTTTTAAAACTGGTTTGTTTTATATTCCATAACAGAAAAAATATATTAAGCTATATCTAATATTTAAATTATTTATATAGAATGAATTAGATTTATAAATCCAACAAAAATATTGCAGCTGAGAGGAAATTGAGGAAATGCTTCCATGAGGTGCGAACCCCTGCAGGATCTGCTGGACTACCCAAATTCGACTCCAACGAGGAGCCTAAGCCTGTATTTATTCTTCCTTCGTTCTTCCATTTATTCCTGTTCTATTTATTTTGTAAATTGTTAACATTAATAAATAATTGTTGGTGATCAATAGTGTCTTTATTTCTCCTTCTTTTTTTATTTCATTAGTGGTCATTTATATCATACATAGTTAGGAGGATAAAATATTTTATATATATATAAAAATATGTGTTTCAGCGTTCATATAAAGTGGCACTTCCGGTTAGCCGATTTTAACGAAAAAGTTGCTGTCACATCCAGCCCATATACAAACCTTAAATACTTAATATCAGTTTCGTACTACTTTTTGTTTATGAGCTAGACTGTTAACACACACACTCACACACACACACACAGACCATTTTGCGACACTTGGTTATTTGAACTCAGGGGACCTCAAAACCGTATTTCCGTTGAGAACAGAGATTCCAAAATTCTCACGGTCGCAATACTTACCCTTACTATATATTACATATATACGTAAGTTAAAGTAAAAATAAAAATACGTACTTTCAAAGTTAAAATTACATTTTTCGAATAGTATTTGAAATTCATAATGATTATAGAACAAATTCATCTAGTAAAATCTATTATGTAGAGTGATACTAGACAAAATACCATTTTTTGTAGTATTAAAGACAATTTACTAATAAATATTTCAAAAATTTATTGTCACCTTCAAGTCACTGAGTTTAGCTTGAGTGGGGTTTTCGTTCCTTCTTCTTGTTCCTCCTAGGGGATTTTTCTCTTCTTTATCCTCTTCCTCATTCAAGTCATAGTTTTCAGAAGGCCTTGAAACAGGCAATTCGTCCTCGTGTGATATTGGCCGCAGGGGTGCCCATTCTCCCCAAGGTCGATGGCGCAAGAATCTACCCTCCTCCTCCTTCTTTTCCCCTCCTCCCTTTCCCAAGATATTTTATTTCTCATATTTTCTTAAAAACAGAGCAAGAGAAGGTGAATTAGAATAATCGTAGATCATACAAAATTATACTTGTTCTTTTTTTTATTTTATTTTTTCTGTTGTTCTCTACCTTGCCTATTAAGCTAAACGGTATTTTCCCGGGCCGGGTGAGGGGAGGAGGGTAAGCGCGGGGAATTTCAAATCCACTCTGGCACCGGGACTCGAACTCGTATTTTTAAATCTCTCAAGTCTGTTATCTGGTTGCCGGGCAACTCGCTGTAGCCCATCCGGCCATCCCATCACCATCAATTATACTTGCTGCGGTCTGTTTCATGTTTTCTCTTTGTCCCTTAGTATGAAACTTTTCATTCCGAAAATTCTTAATACTGTCAAAATGTGCCCCTCTCAAAAATTTTGATGGTGCAATTTGAAACCCCCTTCGGAAAAGCCTTGTCAGGGTACTTCACTTCAGATTTTTTTTTTTCAAGACATTCCATGAAGAAGAGGCGGGGTAATGTAAAAGTAGCTAATTGTCTGTGTGATTAGTAGGCTGCTTCCACACCATGGGAACAGCAAAACGCAATGTACGAATTTTCTTGTTCAACCATTCAAAGTTATGCTACCTGTGATGCAGCAGATGTGCTGGGCCCATGGTTTATCATGGTCACGAACCTTCATCCCAAAATACTACTGGCATGCTGTCTTGATCATCTGGGTGATAGGACGTTTTTGACTTGCAAAGGTCACTTCCCCACAAACATAACAAAAGTTGTCAGAAGCATTCACACACTTCCCGGGCATTGTAACTTCACCAAAACTACTGGGGCATCATGACAATTTCTTTGAAAGAATACATAATGCAATAAAAATCACGTCAAGAGTAATTTGAAATGTAAACACTGTATACAACTGTCAGCAAAATGGTTCTGTCATTCACAGCTAGTCGTTTCCCGCGATTCACAGACAGGAATCAATCCTACCAATCCAGGAGCTGGAAATTTACCCATATTATGCAAAAAATAACTTTATCATTGAAACTAGAGCTAACTGATGATTTTTATATGGAAATTCAAACATGGAATGAAGCTGTTTTCAAGTGAGATACAATACCAATGTACAGCAGGGTTATTACTCACATTTTATCATAAAAAATTCATAGCTAATTTTGATCACTAATTACGGTATGATTTAATATGATGCGTATGTATATTTTTTCTTAAAGTAGCAAGAAGATCTGACAACTATGGCTAACGTGGGTTCGGCAACATATATGTGAATGTATCGTCCTCGTAATGTTACATGGTAAGTGAAGGCTAACAAATCAAAAAAACTGTCCTTAACATACTGATGTTAGCCATTGCAATTAATTAGAGTTCAACTCCAAGTACTACTTTAAGACTAGCAAGCTAGTTAATTTAGTTACCACTGCCAATTAACTCAGAGTAGCTACTTTTTTTCCCACTTACACAACCGCAGCACTCGTAGGCGAGTCCAATCATTCCAAAGGTTCGAGATAAATATGATAATATACATAGCTGGCATGGACACAAACTGCTTATGTGATGCTATCTGACGAAGATATCTTAAAACAAATATATATGCACATAGGCGTAAATAGCGAAAAGTCAACCAAGGCATACTTTGTGGCTTCGGACTTTGAGGGGGCGTTGAAAGACCATAATTGAAAAATAATAAAATATTAAGTAATTTATTCAATTGGATAAAATATATATATATATACTCTATACTGTGGTAAATAATGAAATTAGTTCAAAAAATGGTGTCTTACAAATTGTTCATTACAATTTTTTTTAATGGAATTAATTTTTAATAATGATAAAAACGCATAATTTTATCACAACAGTCCTACTTTATTCCTTTATTTACACCAACGTATCAGGCCTTGGGCCATTTACAAGGGAAGAAACCTTTAACAAATAAAACAATCACCAAATAAAAATAAATAAACTAGGCTGTTAAGATCAAGTCATATCTTTTTATTATTATTAAAAATTAATTCTATTAATAAAAATTGTAATGATTATAATACATGATGAATACATTATTAATTCATAATATATTAAGAAAAATTGTAATACACATACTCGCAAACCATTCTGTGTGCCTTAGTTATTAGGAAGCAGAGAACCTTGAAACATCGTTAAAAATTCGGATTCAGAATTTTTCATAAATACATTGCTTAAGAATAAGATAAATTCTCTTTCAATAGATTTCAAATATGTCTAATTGGAAATAGTAAGTTATCAAGAGTAACTAAAAAACGTAAATATACAAATGCTTATGGATTATAAATGATCTTTCCTTCCGCAATCGAAGTTCATACCGACTACCATCAACCATCTAGTTTTTTTGCCTTCATATGCACAGGCGGATCTCGGGAGGGAGGGAGAGAGGGGCTTTCGGGCTGAAGCCTCCCTTCTCCCAAAATGGTAAAATGTAAACATGTTTTATAGCAAAAATTATTTTTAAAAAAATCTCATAAAACGCTATTGTTCGTGTAATTGCATTTAATAGGAATTCAAAAATAACTTAAACACCGTTTCATATAGGTAGTTGTTATCTTTCTTATTTTTCCAAAGTAATTATCGTTATATATATATATATATATGAAAATAAAACGTTTTCGGGCTGAAGCTCCAACCCTCAAAAAAAAAAAAAAAAAAAAAAAAAAAAACTGCTGTTAAGACTATAGCTTGATAAAGGTTTATTCAAATTACGAAAATATATGTCATATTGCAAAAATTATGGTCTTACGATATTTAAGAATACTTTTAATGTGACTAATAATAATAAATTTCAGTAATTTAAATTACCTAACGACGAAATACTTATCGAGATGTTCCAATGGCAAAAAAAAAAAAAGAATGAAACGACCGCGATGATATCTATATACTGCACGGAAGCGCTTGACCCAGTGTCCCATGGTCTTCCACGTAAGACAATGTTGGACATGGAGTTTGCACACGGAGCAGCTCTTTACAGTCTGGCGGTCGTTTCTGCGACGACGTTCAATAAAGGTACGAGTCGGCTAAGCTGTTTTCAGAAACATTGCACTCACTTGCGGAGTCCCCCAAGGATCTGTGCTATCCCAAGTACTATTTTCAATTTAAACTGATGAAACTGTTGGAGCAAAGTACAAGAGAGTAACTAATAGTAGTGGTGAGTAACTAGAAGTAGTGGCCGATGATATTGCTATCTACAACATACAGCACTATAGTATATCTCGGTGTTTACCCTGGATAGGCACCTTACACTGGCTCGCCACTGTAACAAGAAATTAAAATCGGTCAGGACCAAGACATATAGGCTCAATCAACTATTGACTTCTCCTAACTTATCCCTCCGCCTCAAATTAACAATCTACAAGACTATTTTAAGATTCTCTCTTTTATGGTGTACCACTCCTAACTAACATATCACCTGGAACGAAGAAGAAGCTCCAACAGTTTCAGGATGGTGTACTGAGAAAAGTAAGACACACGACTTTACAAAAAACACGTACGAACCAACTACATATCACCCTCGAATTACCGCAGATGGGCGACTTTATTCTTTGATAGCCTTAAATACTCGACAAAACCACTTTTTAAAACACTCCACTTATTCACAAACCTATGAAATGGCAGGCATACATTAAAAATTCATTACTAGACTGAGAAAAATAATTGACACTTACAGAACACTAGTGAGCCCCATCATTAGACTGACACACCTTAACTATGAATAACCACAGTACTCCCTATTCCCCACCCTCCTCTTAAAATGCACTCTGTGCAGTACAAGAGTTCATGTTTAAGCCTCGTATTACCAATCTGTTCTCAACAACACATCTTATGAGATTAAAAACAAAACAAAAAATAAATTAACAATTAAACACATTTTACCAAGTCGTCAGCTGGAATTCCGACTCTTCATATCACGTGATTTATTTTAGTAATGATAAACATTGCAATTGTTTCCGAGAATAAAAAATTAATAATGTAGTAGCCTATGACAAGTATTGAAATTTAAAAATTTATCCGGCAAAAAAATAATTGATTTGAGTCATACTTGGACAGATATTTAATACTCCAACTTTATCCCAGATATAAAGAATGAAGGAAAAAAAAAAATTAATAGAATGTCATTATTGCGGTGGCAGGTTAGCAATGTTCCGTGACAGAGGATAC